GTGGTGGACCGCCTCTGCCCCACCCCGGCGAGTTGAGCTGGCCCAGCCGGGGCCGGGGGACGCGCGTGCACACGCAGGTCGCTGGCCGTTTGCTGGGCGATGCCTTGGCTCAGCGCAGCACTCACGAATGGCTAGCAGCGTCGGGACTGGGAAAGCGTCCCCGAGGGGGGACGTTTAACTGAGCCCCTGGAAACCAGCAGCGCTGCCACATTTCTCAGATGGGATGTTCATTACAGCAGGGAGTTAAAAGCGCAGCAGCGACGGCTATTGTTCGCTCACTTCCTCTTGTTATTTCCCCTCTCCGCAGATGGGGAGATCACTTCCAAGCCTATGGTGCTATTCCTGGGACCGTGGAGCGTCGGCAAATCCTCCATGATAAACTACCTCCTAGGGCTGGATGACACTCCCTACCAGCTCTACACAGGTATCTCGCTCACTGCTCCCACGCTGCTCTGCCAAGGGCATGCTGACACTTGCATTTCTGCAGCCACGTGCTCAGCGGATGACAGCAGCGATTCCTGGTTGTACCTATAAGACAGCCCCCAGCTACGCCAGGGAGGCTGTGATCCAGCACAGGGTTCATGCCACTCGGCTCCAGGGCCAAGTAGAGAGCAAGGCAGGGCAGGTCCCCACTCTGGCCCACAGCCTGCCCACCTGCTCAGGGGAAGAGGAGAGTCCCTCTCCCTGCAGCATCCCCCTCCTGCTGCACAGGGCTCACCACCTCCAACCCATAGGTGCAGTGCAGCAGGCAGCCTGCAAGGCTGCAGGAGTAGCAGTCATTAGCAAGGGGAACCTTCCCTGTCTTCTCCGTCCTCACATGGAGCCAATTAATTCATCCTCCCTGGAGAAAAGCTATACCCCTTCCCTCCTCTCTGCTCTCATGAGTCTGACCTCACAGGTGAGGACAGATTTCTGCAGTCCGCTCAGTGCTGAGGTAACGAGGGGTCCTGGGAGCGATGCAGGAGGTGGTTCTCTAGAGCACCTTTAACGATCAGGGCACTTCCAGAATAGTTAGTCCCTGCAGAAAACAGCCCTGCTATCATTTTCTCAAGAGGTTTGGCAAGAATTTCATGGCCCCACTGCCTGCCTCCCTCCTGCATCTTTTGGCAAGGGAACGGTGCCCCAGCTAGTCCCAGACGAGTCCCTGCAATGGATTTTACAGCTCTTGCTCCTCTTGTCACTGTGCAGGGGCAGAACCCACCACCTCTGAATTCACTGTCATCATGCATGGCCCGAAGCTGAAGACCATCGAGGGCATCGTGATGGCTGCTGACAGCGCACGCTCCTTCTCGCCCCTGGAAAAGTTTGGGCAGAACTTCTTGGAGAAGCTGATAGGGATTGAGGTGCCTCACAAACTCCTGGAGCGAGTCACCTTTGTGGACACTCCAGGCATCATTGAAAACCGCAAGCAGCAAGAACGAGGTAGGAATTTGCTATGTTCATCTAAGGGACTCCAGAAAAGAAGCTGTAACAGTGTAAGATAACAAAGATGACTGAAGTGCAGCGAGGAAGAGCCCTAGGCTACAAACAGGGTGTATTTTTACACTGGAGAGGATAGTAAAGTTTGTCTGGGCATGGCTATGGGGCCAGGTGGACATACCTGATTATCATCAGCTAGAGCTGCCTCTTTCTGTCATTTAGAGGTGTGACAGACAGGAGTTTTTGCAAGATGTTTCCAGGAGATCCTCAGGCTGTTGTCTGCTTGAGCCCATCATTTAGTATCCTGTTTGTAGCTCTTGGAGACAGGCTTTGCCATTGGCTTGTGCTACAGCAGGACCCAGAGAAGCACCATCACAACACATGGGATGCCAGGGTAGATCTGCAGGGCTTGCTGAATCACTTACTGCCCACTGGGGAAAGCAATGACGTGGCAGATATCTGCTCATAGGCGAAGCAGGAATCTATGAAAGTGTCTATGAAAGAGATCAGTTCCAGGTGAGGAGGAGAGCACCTCTTGGAAACGCTCTCCACTCCCACTGCTGGGGGAAAGCATCCCCTGGGAGCAAGGGTGGGAGTGAGGTGCCCATCAGTGGAAGTTTTAAATTCTCTCCTAAAATCCTATCATTCCCTGAGTATAGCAGTGCATTTACCCCTTAAAGCAATGGAGCCCTCTTCACCTCACAACTTCTGCCATTGATGAAGGGAGAAACCTTGGCTCCCTTGAAGACAAGGCCAAAAGTTGCACTGACTTTGCTGGGGTTAGACCATGAATGAAGGTCACAAGATCAGCATGCAGTCCCAGTGCACCAGCCACACAGGGATGGGTCTCCATGCCAAGAAACTTTTAGGTGTTTTTAGCACTTAAGAAACAGGTTCTGTGCTGTTTGGGAAGTCCAGATAGGTCTGGCTCAGACAGGGTGTGAGACACAACAGGCTCAAAGTTTATCTGTTCTTTGAACTGAAGAGACTCATCCTGTGCTGGCCTCTTCTGCTGGATTTCTCTCTCTCCTCTCTCCAAGGTTACCCATTCAATGATGTGTGCCAGTGGTTCATTGACAGAGCTGACCTTATCTTCGTTGTCTTTGACCCCACAAAGCTGGATGTGGGCTTGGAGCTGGAGATGCTGTTTCGCCAGCTGAAGGGCCGTGAGTCTCAGATCAGAATCATTTTGAACAAAGCCGACAGCCTGGCCACCCAGGAGCTTATGAGAGTCTACGGTGCCTTATTCTGGAGCTTGGCTCCTCTGATCAATGTCACGGAGCCACCCAGGGTGTACGTGAGTTCCTTCTGGCCCCAGGAGTATCAGCCGGAAACCCACCAAGACCTGTTCCTCAAAGAAGAGATATCACTCCTGGAAGATCTCAACCAGGTGATTGAGAACAGGATGGAGAATAAGATTGCCTTCATACGCCAACACGCCATCCGGGTGCGCATCCACGCCCTTTTAGTTGATCGCTATCTACAAACCTACAAGGACAAAATGACCTTCTTTAGCGATGGAGAACTGGTGTTCAGAGACATTGTGGAAGATCCTGACAAGTTCTTTATCTTTAAGTCCATTCTGGCAAAGACCAATGTCAGCAAATTTGACCTCCCCAACCGTGAGGCTTACAAGGACTTCTTTGGCATCAATCCCATCACTAGCTTTAAGCTGCTGTCTCAGCAGTGTTCCTACATGGGAGGGTGTTTCCTAGAGAAGATCGAAAAGGCCATCACGCGTGAGCTTCCTGATCTCTTGGGAAGCATCGGCTTGGGGAAGAAGCCCAGCATTCTCTCCTGCGACATTACTGGCTGTGGCGAAACCCCAAAGAATCGCTACAGGAAACCGTAGTGTGTTCTGTAATATAACCATTCATGTGTTCCTACTGGTGAATGAGCTTATGTCTTATCTGTCCAAGAAGCCATGGCTTATTAACCCTTTGAGTGCCACACTGGCAAAGGCTACTGTACAATGAGGACTTTGAGTCATTGACATCAATGGCAGGGGAAGGTGGGTGGGCGTAAGAAAGAGAATAAAAACTGTGAATTCCTGACACTTTATCTTTGTTCTTTCAAATAGAAGGCAATGTTTGAGCTGTAAGTATGAGCTAGAACTGTAGCTGCTTTTTCACTGGTACCAAGATTCACATGTGAGAACAAGAATTTCAACCTCTGCATCATTAAGCCAGCAGGGAGCAAGAATGAGGGCACAGCGTGAGGGCACAGAGGAGAGTGGTGACACAGTAACCTGGGATCCACCAGCAGCCCCAGGGGGCAAAGCTCTGGGCAGGGTAGGAGAGGCCAGGTCCCAGCTGCTGTTTTCAGGCACAAAAATCCTACAAATCTTTACAAATATTGATCTTGTTTTCCTTTCCAAGACTTTTAGGTCACCCCGTGGAGTTCTCCTTTCACAAAACAGCTGAGCTTAATTCTGCAGCCTTTACCTAGGTGTTAGCCTTCTCCTGCATTAGGAAAGGATTCAGTCCCCCAGCTGACTGTTTGCAGGGGCATTTGTAGCTCCAGACAGATAGCCATGGTGGGATTTGCACGTCCATGCCAGAGTAAGCAGTGGGCTGGAAGCAAGCCATCAGAACTGGCTGAGTTCTGCTTGAGGAGCAAGAGAAGCACCCAAAGTCACAAAGTCCTGCAAAGAGCCATGAGCAGGTCCCCTCTCTCTGGGCTGGCACAGAGACAGGGTGTTTAGTGTCCGCATGTGCCATTAACCTTAAAAATCCCATGCTGGCAAGTCAAGCCTGAGTATCAGTAGGGCTCAGAGGGTTAATTGTTTGGCAGTTTGACCTTGTTTAAGTCAGTGTTGCATGCTTTCTCCAAATCAGATCCCTGAGTTTTTTTTGCCGTTTGCAGGGAGACGGGAATGCCATTTTACAAGCCACATCCTTCTTCCCCTCTGCTAATCTGTTCTCCTTAGGATATTACAGGAAGATTTCTGTGGATTGTTCTCTGTACTTCACCCATTTTTAGCCGTGAAGCTGTTGGCTCATCTCTGCACATCAGCACTCAGTCCTGTGAGCTACAGGTGAATGACTTGCTTCAAAAGCACCAGACCAGGGTCGGGTTCCCCATGGACAGCCAACCTTGAAACCTGGCAGCGAAAGCCAGGCGATTGCGGGTGGCCTCATCACCTAGCTCAGGCCGCTGGGTTGCACTGCCCCAGCACGGCTGGCTGCTGAGCCAAGCACAAACTGACCAAGTAGGTAGATATTGAAAAAAAGGTACTTTAGAGAACACCAATAACCGGCTGAACAGCATTTCTCCTTCCTCCTGCCAAGCACACCACAGCTAATACTGCTCTCCAGGAAACCACTGGAGCAGAGGAACTTTGACAGGAACAAGAAGACATGGCGGTGCCGGGTGAGGCAAGACAAAGGCAAAGGAAATGGAAGAGAGAAAGAGAAAACTGGAAACGAAAGGCTCTGTCATGATGAAAAGGGTTGAAGAGCAGCACCTCTGGCGTCCATGTGCCCAACAGGATGTAGGCCAAGGCTGAAGGTCAACACCTCACTCTGATTGTGGGGTCCACGTGTCCCCAGCACTGAGGCTGGGTGCTGCGAAGAAAGGGTCCCCTCAAGCAGCCCAGGTGAGTTTGGGAGGATGCCGCCCCAGGGACTTCCAATGCTCTTTGCCTCTGCTTTGAGGTAGGACTGTGCATTTGGACTAATGAAGAGGAGACAAGTCTATGTTCAAGTACTGGAAGGGGCAGGTTTTGTGCAGAGAGATTTTGTACACAGAGAGGACTGCGGGTAACTAGTGACGACAGGAAGAGGTGTCTGAGAAAGCAGCAGCCAGAATGGCACAGAGAGAAGTGATGCACTCGTGAGTCAGCGCAGAGAGGTCTCAAACTTGACCCAGAGCTGCTGCCTCCTTTCGCTTTTATTCTTTTCTGTTCCTTTTGCGTTATCCCTCTCCTCCCCATCATCATCCCAGCCTGTCTGTCTCACCCACTCTTTCTTGCCTCTCATTGTCCTTTGTCAAGCTAGTTTGCATGGTTTTCTTAAGAGCTAAGGGAATAGAAACAATGAGAGAAATGTGATAATATTGTCACTGTTCCTGCCATCACACTGTGTGTCATTGTCACAGTAAGCAAAGCCCATCAAACTTTTCTACTTCTAAGTGCCTTATTTTTCCATCTCATTTTTTGCTGCCTTGTCCCTCCAAAGCCAGTGGGCTCCATCTGGGGGCGTTCAGTGAAAGGCCCCCCCACATCCCATGAAGAAGCTCTAACTCTCCGTTTGGGCCTTAAACTTGAAGGCCCTGCTCTCAGGTCGCTCCCATCTATCTCCCCATCACTTTCTTTTCTCCTTTTCCTTTGCTTTATCTTTTCTTCAGCACTCATTGTCTTCCTTCCCATTTACACTCCATTCTGTTTTTCCTTCTCTTCATCTTATAAGCGCCCTGTGCAACAGTCAAAAGCAGAACGCTGATGCAAGCGTCCTCGATGGGGCTCTTATGCAACGGTCAAAACCTTTTTCTCGTCTAATATTGTGTGTTAGGATTCTCTTTCCAACGTCATGCCCTACGCTTGACCCTGTCCGAACCCTCACTCACCTGACCTCCTCCCCCCCCATCCTGTGCAAAAGTGATGGCAATCGTGATCAGAAGCAGGGGGGCAGGCTAAGTGCCATTTTTTGCTACCTGTGAAGCACGCTGACTCGAGTTAGCGCTGGCCAGCTCTCCTGGTTGTTCAGGAAGGTGTCGACACTTAGATGCTTTCTTTCCCATGTATCTTAGCACACAACCGGGGCAGCCATGGCAAGTGACTGTTAGTCCAAACAGGACAGTAGGTGCCTACCCGCGCCACGTGGCACAGCTTCAGACCAACCCAACAGTCTCTGAGCTTTAGTAGGAGAGCTCTGGGATGTGATTGAGAAAGAGATGAGCTGCAGGAAATGCAAAGGGGTGGGGGGGAAGGGGGAGTATTTTTATTTTGCTGAGAAATCCCAACCTGACGCCAGGGCTGTGAGCTTCTTGTGTAAGAGCATTCCGGACAGACACCTTCCAAGGAATGACATAGCCGTGACATATGCCCAAGTAGAAGCCCATGTTAATGCGCATTTGGATAAAACTGTCAGCTTGAACATCAACCTGTCTAATAAAACCTGGTATTTTCCAAACACACTCCTTGGAGATGTTTGTTTTGTTTCTCTCACCGGAGTGGTGCAACCGCCCAGACTGGCTCTGGGCAGGGCAGGATGGGTGTTCAGGGAGGGATCGGCAAGCGCAGCACCGGGGCAGCCATGCATGGCGCTGCCTCCCTGCGGGAGGGAGGGCAACGGGGCTGTGGGCAGCCTCGGGGAGGCTGGCTGATGGGCTGCAGCTGTGGGGAGTGAGGACTGAGCCCCAACACCCCACGGAGCCTGGCAGGCAGCCCGTGGTCAGTGGGGAGAGGTGATGGCAGAGGGAGGGTGACTTTCACAGAGATCCAGCTCACGATGGGCCAACAAGGAGCATCTTGCATCCCAGCAGAGCCCCAGCAGCTGGGATGTGAGCTTCCCCAGGTATTTAGGCCACCCTTGCTTATCCCCTTTCCTGGTCTTCCAAGTAGGGGAGCTCTTCCTTGCAGGGCCACCGTTCCTGCAGGGCTCTCAAGGAGCCCAGCATTGGCAGGAGGGTCAAATTCAGCCCACACTTCACTGCCATGAGCTCCTGTGCCTATCCCACATGTCCACCCTCTGCCCCACCCAGTGCTCTCAGCACACTAGCTGTGAAGGATGGGTGCCAGCTGGGCAGTCTGCTGCAGGGATGGGTGGTGCTGGGAGCTCTGAGGCTATCTCCAAGGCTGTTGGGAGCACAATGTCACCCAGGAGTCCCTTGGGGATGGGGATGTGCTGACTGGCTCTGGATCGCATCCCCGGGGTTAATGGTGCCCTGAGAGCTGCCCCAACTGCTGGAAGGTCCTGGTCTCCCTCCTTGGTGAGGATCTGGGGCTGAGCCCAGCAGGGCCCCAAGGGAGAGATCACTGGGAGCTGGAGGCCCTGGAACGTAGCCCTGCCTGAGCTAAGCTGGCTGAGCCTGGGGACCGGGCCCCTGGGAGGGGGATGCCTGCAGGGCCGTCCTACTGGTGTCCCCCACAGCTCTCGCAGGGACAGTTTGCAGGAGAGGATAGAGAGGCAGTGCTGCAGGCCGAAGCCCTGGTCACACGTGGTTTTGCGCAGGGTGGACGTGCTCTTCCCCGCACCCCAGCTTTGCACGGCCGTCCCTTGCCAGAGACTTGCCAGGCACGCCTGAGGGATTTCACTGCTTTTCCCAACCTGGATTTCTGCAGCACAGGCACGCATCCGCAGAGCACAACCACACTTCTGCACTTTGCACTTCACTGAGCTGAGAAGGGCAGCACGTCCCTTTCTAGTGAGGCAAGTCGTTGCTCCCACCGGCAGAGAGATGCCCTTGAAATCCCCTCTGCGTGCATTCGCTTGGACCCAACGCAGAGGGCCCTGCAGGTGCTGAGTACAGAGAGAGAAAAGGAAAATCTTCCCTCTACCCTTGGGAACTGGAGCCTCCCCAGGGCCCACCACAACGCTGGCTCTGATTCACCCACGGAGGCTCCTGGAGAAGGCCCCAGGGACGAGCGCACGCCACGGGGACAGCAGTGAGCCCTGGCAGCCTCGGGGCTGAGTCACTGCTGCAGACCCAGGCGCACCGCAGCAAGCACGATGCCCTGGGGTGACTCAGCCCCGGCAAGGCAGGTGCCGCCGCACCGCTCGCTGCGCAGCTTCCGTGGTACCTGCTTTGCACATCTGCACCTTCTCCCCCCCACTTCAAGCGTTGCACTAACACCAAATCTTCCCCAGCTTTGGTCTGGCTCATTCCTGGACGCTGCCTGGGGGATAACCCTGCAGGGATGCCCTTCTCTGCCTTGCAAGTTGCTGGCCGTGGGCTCCATCCTCGTCCCACAATGAGGGCAGCGCACCCGCAGCTGGGCAGGAGGAAGGGGCTCAGGGGCCCGGCTCCTGCTCCCACGCTGGCAGCACGACGAGAGGCGGCTGCAGGCTGCCAACTCTCCAGCTAGATGGTCAGAAAAGGTCACTCCAAGAAAGCTGGAAGAAGAGAAGGAATGTCTCACTCGGCCGTGGCTTCCTTTGGAAAGTCTGGAAAAACCATAGCATCTTGAAGTGCATGAAGATCTGACTCGTGAAAAGCTCCTTTTCCTTCCAAAGCTACTTTATAGATGTGAATCATGGGAAATTAATGCTCCTGGTGGAAAGAAAGCTGATTTCACTGAGACGTGGTGCTGGCAGAAGCTCTGGTGTATCTCTTGGACAGAAAAGATAAACATTTATCTTAGAAACATTGCTGGAGGGAAGTAGCCCGTGCTGTTGGCTGTCACCTGGCACGCAGATGTGGGGCTCGGGAGGGACAGGCCCCAGCACAGAGGTGGGGAAAGGCCCGGGGCCTCTGCTCCAGGCTGCCAGGAGCAGCTGGAGGCACCTCGGCTGCCGAGTGCCCCCAGTGAGAGGCGGCTCGGACAGGTTCCTGGAGGTTGCCGAAAGTCTGGCAATGGTATTGCCAACACTCAACCAGATGCAAATGGGTTTATGAGCCTTACTGCTTTGTTCACCTGTGGAACGTGGCAAGATGTTGGTTACCATCACATGGGGACTGTCCGCCCCAAGGCTGGACTCACAGCCTGCTGCGGCACGTGGAGGTCTCCTGGTGCTCTCCCCATGGGGTGCTCTTGGTTCTTCATTTCACAGCTAAATGACTCCAAGTAAAATAGAACATGGGCAATGCTTATTCCATATTTCCATAGTGCCTACTGCATGCCAGAATTTCAAACATGGCAAGGCGAAGGCCTCATCTCAAGGGTTTTAGGTCCTTCACAGGAGGAAGGTCAGGGGAATGTAATATTGCAGGTCCATAAAAGGGTAATCCCCATGCAAGAGTCTGGTTTGGCTCTTGCAGTTTATTCCAGTTTAGTTTATTCCAGTTAGGGGAAGTACAGTAAGATTAGATTCTCTCCAGACACTAACTCACAAGCAGGAATTAGGGCTCTGAATCCTGAATCTGCTCGATCAAAAAAAAAAAAAAGTTTGTATAATATCTACTACAATGAGTGATCTGTAACCTCACCATCCTCCATAGCATCTCTACATTTCAGGCATAAAAATACTCCA